CTCAAGAGTTTGAGCTCTGAGCAACAGTGGTTCGAGTCAGCCCGAGCTGAGCAGCCGTGAGCTGCCAACAGGTGGCGGGATGGCTCAGCTAAAAAAAAAAAAAAAAGAAAAGAACAAAAATCGCATTCTCATACACTTTGAAGTTTGAGAACCATTCGCCTAATCTAGCCTACCTACAACTACTGAATTTCTTTTCCTGAAACCCTGCTTTCCTCAGATCATTCCTTGCTCAAACTAATTTCTGATTTTCTGCCTGGGCTTTTAGATCCTCTTTCAACTTGACTTTTCGTTTAAATCTTTCGAGTGTACATTCTTTGTTCCAACAAACTCAGCATCATCCCTAGCTTCCCTCTTCCCTGCCCCGCCCCCACAGGATTTGGTTCTGTCCCCAAGCCTTTGCATTGAATATTACTTCCCTAATCTGAAAGTTTCTCAGTAGCCTGCTCTCCCGCGTCAAACCCCAGCCATCATAACTAAGTATTCCTGAAAGCCCACTGTAAATCCAGAAATTTGCATGAAGTTTTCTCTAATGACTCTAACCCTACTTCTCACTCCTGTTTATGAATTCCTATTACAGTAAGCCCTCACTTAACATTGTCAATAGGTTCTTGGAAACTGTGACTTTAAGGGAAACGACATCATGAAACCAGTTTTACCACAGGCTAATTGATATAAACAACAGTTAAGTTCCTGGGGCGTCTCATCAATGTTATAATGAAACGATGCAGAGCAGGACACCGTTATTCGAGGACCTATTGCACACTTACAATCAGCATGCACAATTTAAGGTTTGATTATTTCAACATATATTATGGAAGTCATAAGGTCTTATCTCATTTTCCAGGCAGCAGTGCACCTAGCACAGTTTTTGGCACATAATAAGCATTAAAGAAATTTTTGCTGATTTTTTAAATTATCCTGAAAAATTGATGGCTTTTTCTTTCTCCTAGATGTCATATGGATTACAAAAAAGGAGAAATCTGGGGCAGCCGGTTAGCTCACGTGGTTGGAGCGCAGTGCTCTTAGCACCAAGGTTTCCAGTTCGATCCCCACATGGGCCATGGAGCTGCGCCCTCCACAGCTAGATTTTGGAGCTGATGGGTCCTGGAAAACCACACTGTTCCCCAATAAAAGTTTTTTAAAAATCAAAAAAAAGGAGAAATCAATTTTTTAAAGCAAAACAAATATTAAAATACATTCCCTATTCTAGATACCACAATACTTGGTAATATTAAAGATGCTTCCTGCCCTGTTCTCTAAATGCAGACTCCTCAGTCATGAAGGCAAGGTAATTACACATAGCTCTCAAGTACAATACAGGCCATTTCAGTGTATTATGTAGTAGCATATCATGTAATTATGGCACTGAAATACAGTGCCTTGAATTTAAAACCTTTCAAAGACCGCAACAGAAAGAAGTCTTAAAAGATAACGTAAGCCAATCACTTCAATTTATCCATTTAATCACTGAACCTCAGAGAAATTACGTGACTTGCCCAAAGTCACAGAGCCGATTAGTGCACCAACCAACAAAGACAAGCACCTAGGCCTCCGGAATGAATATCAGGGTTGTTTTCATTACCCTATGTGCACAATGAGACGAAAATCAAAGCGAGATATTTTAATAAGAATTCTTGTTAGCATAAACCAACAGTTTAGGAGTCTCTCCTTGCCATCCAGAGAAACTGAGGTAAAACATGCAATTTCATCAGAATCATAAAGACGGACACAGGCACAATTCTAAAATAAAATAAACAACAAAAAAATGTACAACATTTAGAAAGAGAAAATATAAAAGCATGTTCTGTTCTAAAACATTTCCAAAACCACAAGAAAAATACTTCGCACAGCTAAATTCTAATCATCTGGTCTTAATATTCATCTCACTGCTTTGGTAAAATATGTACTAAAAGAAGAAACAAACATAGAAAATACTATAGGCAAAAGTCCCAAATGCACGAATTCACATCTAAGGGGAAAACACATCTTTTGTACTCACCGTAACTTTACTTCCAACTATCTGCATGCAGTGGTCAACGGAGAGTGGTTATGGTGCAAAAAAACAAAAACAAAGAAAAACAAACAGCAACAGTATTAGTAATTAGAAGCTTTTCACAGAAGTGTTTAGTAAATTAGTAAATAGCTAACCTTATGTATACTTTTAACACTTTAGATCTAGAGTTTAAAACAAATATATCAGTATTAATTTCTACCACGTTTCAATAAAGTCTATGGAATAAGGATTCCCAAATAAAAGATTATTACTATTTGAGGACTTTTTAAAATGTATTGTAATGGGATTCTCATATAATACAATCTAAATATGAAGTAATGAAAGCTTAAGTGTTAATTAGGTATCAGATATTTTACCAGCCCACACAGCCCCTCAAAAAAATTATCAATAGAAACTTGATCTTTTTCCAAATACTGTTTTTTTTCTTTCTTTAATAGTACAACGGGTATACTATTAAGGTTGAAATAAGGTATTTTAGAATATAAATGTTGCATTTAAAGTCATGCATTAAGTTAAGAAATGAACTTTAGGTTGAAAATTGGAATACTTTACATTGCTATAAATTTGAGGTTTATAACATTGTTTTGTAGTATACTGGAAAATTAAAAAGAAAATAGATTGTTTATGATTCTAGTTTTCTAGGTCATCCTAGCATTCTATTATAAGATCAGAGTTTTCTACATAATGTGAAGACAAAGAAGCATTTTATATCTGAACATGCAGAAATTCATAAGGCGGAAACAGTTCAAAATCGCAACTTTGAGCTTTTCCTAATGGATAAGAGAATTTCTGAGGGGCAGAACTTTCTTTTAAAAAGCAAGAAGTAAAACCAGTCTTAAATATAATTTTACGGCAAAATCCAAATATAAATCAAAGCATTGTCATCGGATTCCTGCACTTGAATATCAAGCAATGTCCAAAAAAAGAGCTAATCCATAATCTAAAACCATGAATCTAGCAGTTACTATCGAAATGTGTTCTATTTTTCAGCTAGTACTTTAAAAATAAAAATCAAATGTAACTGAAATCCCAGTAAGAATCCTAAGTTGAACAGGACACCACAAGATACAAAAAGATGCCAGCTTCCAAGTAATGATTCCAGAGGAATCCATGAATCTCCAAATAGAGAAGCAGCTTTCGTAAAATATTCACTCAACAGACCATTTACAGGCAGTGATTATCTAGTTGAATAAAAGCCTCTTTGGTGCCATTAAGAGTCTTCTGAATTGAAAGATATGCTATTGACCTAAATTATTTCCTCACACCAAAAAGACAGAGGTCTTATGTGTCCCTTGTTTATTTAGCACAGACATGAGACTAAAAAGAGAATGTGAGCCTGTCCTAACAATTAAGGCAGGTCTATACCCAGTGAAATGATCAGAATATGGCCCATTTAATGATTCATCTGGATTGCAAAATGACTGCATTTAGCTAAAGTACATACAGCAAACAGATTAGAATGGCAGAGGGAAGCTAAGAAAAACTGGTTTGGTCATGTCTGGGTTCAATTGTTTCACCAAACCCAGACCATGCTTGGAAAAGAAGACCTGAGAAAGAAACTATCTGATAATGTCAAAAGCAAAGCCATAATACATATATACAAACACATACACAGATATACTGCAACTTTAACTGTCTAACATATGGGTCAATCTAAAAAAATCTATAGATGTATCTGGTATCACTATTTTAAATTATTTTCTATTGAGATTTTTAAATCAATGATAGCTTTCAATGGCTCGTGTGTCTTCAAAAATATAATTTTACATATTTTAAAATCTCAACTTCAAAGGTTGTGATTTAAATTAGAAATAAACTAGTTTCTTAATATTCTAATGAGGACATTGGCACGTGCCAAACTAATGTTAGAATTTCAGTGACTACTTTTTCCTTATAACGGTTTACATAGACTGCTCTGATATAACATGCAAGATGTCCTCCAAATTACTGATATATTGTGCCTCTTTCAAGATTATGAATCGGAATGACAGCATGTGCAATATTCACCAGGCTTGGTTTCCCATTTCTTAAAATATGTTAGTGCTTTGAAAAGATAGACTCTTCTAGATTATTTATGGCCAAATGATGGATGTGTGCCAACTCCTCTAGGTCAGGTCCAGAATCATGCTTGCTACATTGGACAAACGAGCCCAGCTTGGCAAGAGAAGAGGTTCTTCTCCACTCCCTTATTTAAAGTTCATTCATCACTGACAGAGCTACTCAAGCTACTTTTCCTTTAACATTCACACAATTTAACATTGTCTATTGTGGGACTTTAAGAAGGAAAAACTAAGCACTAGTTTTCTTTATTATCTTTTAATTTCCTTTATATTCTCTTACTCCGTGTTCATTTTAGCAAAGGTGATTACACAACAAGACACTCCCCCTTTGCTCTAGAAATAGGTTTTGAGCATATATACCTGTGTATAGTTTCATCTTGCTTTACTGTCCTTATCCAGGAGGATGATGAACATTTCATACTGAGCTCATATTTTGTTTTTCGATTCCATACAAACTGACTAATGCAGATACTAAAGGGGGAAATGTACAACTTATGTTTCAATTTAACTATTGGGTTTTCAGAAAAGTCATGATGCATTTTTGCAACAAAAAAAAACAGAGAAAAAATATGTCATGACTTTTCCAACAACCCAATATAATTCTCACATGTTTTACTTGTGACTATAAAACATTTTTCCTCCAGGGACTCTAGCCCTTAACTTTGTTTTTACTTCAAGACGAAAGTTTTGGCAACTTATAAAGTGTTTTTATAAAGAAGTGCTTACAATCATACCTACTTTAAATGATGAAACATTTTTAATCAGTATGTTGATATAATGAAAAAGTAACCATAAAAAAGTATAAGATACATAAGCAGGATGGAAACCTTGGTTACACATAGGTAAACAGCCATATGTTGTTATAATTTATGCAGTTTACTGTCATAATCATGAAGAGGTCAAAAGAAAAGAGGATTATTTGGTACTGAATGGCATCCCTCTCACCTTCAAAGGGAAATTATATCAGCATTTTTCTGTTTTAACAACAGAAAACACAGTACTAATTAATGTCTCTCCCAAGGTGAGAAAGCCTTAAAAGATGCTTATCAAAAGGCTTTCTTTCATCATAATATTCACTCCATGAAAAATATTAGTACCATATTTTGCCATGTATAATGCACTCCCATGTATAATGCACACCCATGTCTCTGGCCCAAACTTTCAGGGGGAAAAAATATTTCATTTTCATTCAAATTTTTATTTGTTTACATTTAGGTACTTGTTTTTTGTATTCTAAAGGGGATTTAGCATTTATTTTTTAACATTTTATGGTACAAGAAATTTTATGGACTGGTAACAAATTTACCATATTTATGCATCATAGAAGGCCAAGAACTCTTCGTAGTTGCAAGTTCGTCATTAAGTTCAACAAAACTGATTATCATATTCCGGGGTATTATTTTGCATATGGATATCGTTATTGATTTCTACAGCTACACTTTTAACTCATACACATAAATAAAAGAATTAAAAACATTTATATAGATACTAAATTAGTACTACCCATGTATAATGCGCATCCTTATTTCTCCCTCAAGTGCACACTGCACATGGCAAAATACGGTAAATAAAATATATAATCTTGAATCTCTAATGAAAGTAGTGTACATATGTCAGGTGCTCATATGTATGCTGAATGAAACAAAGGTCATACACTAAATAGTTACGGCACTGATTTTCAGGCGAAAACCTTAAATAGAATTTTCACTGTTTTTGAGAAACATTCAATTTCATTTTTTGAATAAAGCAATTCAAAAGAGCTCATCCCACATGTACCCAAATTTTTGTATTTTAATCTGAAAAATGAGCATATAATTTAAAGTGTGCATTTCTTTGGTAATTTGAAGAGGAAATAATGTGAGAATGTAAACAAATTCTATATAGCATATAGCAATAGAGTGAAAATCAAAAGGTTAAGAAGAGCTTCATAGAATCTCCATTACATTCAGTCCCACCTACACAAACAAAAACAACAGATGAGCCAGAAACACTACAAAAATCATGTCATTAAAAACACTACATGATTATTCATATATTATTATCTGTACTTTGCACTCAGATTTAGTTACATAGATTCACTACTATATTTGCCTTTAGGTATTTGAAAAAATAACACTGAATTGTACACCCTGCATTTTCCTAAAGCATTTTACTGTGAACAATAACTTGGGTGCAAAAATGAGAAGAGATTCATCAGAATTTCAAAGTAAAACCCTATGCATCACCTAATTCTATTGAAAACAACGCTCATGGCAAATTTCACTTATCACTCAAAACATATTTCTGCCTTTGGATACCAGAACCAAATTAAAAAACATGCTGTGGCTCTGCTCTGGCAGAGCTGCAATGCGTTATGTTCAAATAGTTTAGCATTCACATTTAGCTTGCTTAAAGTACAATATGATCGTAGAATTCAGGGCAAAACGTATCAGGAATTGCCACTGTGATTAGTGAACTGAAATAGCATTAATAGGATAGCCAAATAATTTTAAAATATATTTTTCCAATGAAGAGCTATTTTTTTCACTGGTCAACTTTTTAAATTTAAAATATGCATGTTTTAAATGTAAATATGTATGTATACATATACTATTTATGTAAACACACACATTTAATATACATACCACACAGAAAATCACCATTGTGTATGTGTGTGCATATACACACATATATATAGCGTATACACACACATATATAACATATACATATATACAAAGTGATTTTATGAACTCTAGAAGGTGAAAAGGCTTTTTTTACAGAAATGTTATCAATACATTTCCCCATTTCAAAAATACTTTTACAAACAAAAAATCAAACAGGGAGAGTATTTGTGGAAGCACCCTAGTTAGCATGTGAGAAAAGCAAAAATACTCCATTAAAACTCTAAGTTTTTCCTGCTGATAACAAGTCTTTTCAATGAACACTACTTTCAAATCTTTTGAGACT